GGACAGAGGAGTAGTGGGTGAAGGGCGACGTCGGATGGTGTCAAATATGACAAAATAATAATGATTTACAAATTATCAAGGGTTCATGGGGGAGGGGGAGAGAGGAGGGAGAGGGGAAAATGAGCTGATACCAAGGGCTCAAGTAGAAAGCAAATGTTTTGAGAATGATGATGGCAACAAATGTACAAAAGTGCTTGATACAATGGATGGATGGATGGATGGATGGATGGATGGATGGATGGATGGATGGATTGTGATGAGTTGTACGAGCCCCCAATAAAATGATTTTAAAAATAAAATAAAATAAACATATAAAACAAGGGAAAAAAGTTTCTCTCAGCTGTATAATTCATAAAATTTTACTGTGATTTATTGTGCCAACCTGGCCAAAAGGAATATGTGGGATGAATCAGGTCAGAGTTTGATTGGAGGGGGAAGAGATAAATGACTCTGCAAGGCCCGCCCCCATCCCCATCCCCTCTTGCTCTCTGATGACCAGAGTGTGCTGGAGCTTGTGTGCTGCTGCTGGAGCTAGTTCTCTGACTCAACCTGTGAGCTACTCTACCTGTGGACCAGGTCAACCTGTGGATCCTGTCACCTTGCATTGCTTGCATTTGATATCCCATCCAGGCCTGCTTCAGCTAAGCTCCCAAGCTACTGACGTTGGTGTCCTACCCTGCTGCTTGCTGCCTGTGGGCAGACTGTTTGCCTTGCCCCAGGGAGGACTCTGCTGTCTGCTTCCTTGACCTTGGACCCAGCAGCACACATAAGTTGAAGGACTTCCAGCATAATAACTCTTCTATGGAAATGAGTTGAACTAAACCCTCTGTACTGCCGTGTGGACTAATTAGTTTCTATATTCCTTTTTGCTGTATATATATATATATGTTTATATACAAATTGGTCCCCTGGTATGCCCCCACTGCCCTCTTGGACCTTAGAGATTGAGTGTAATTTTTGAATTGGGTAAATCTGCAGCAAAAGATCTCATTAAAATTATTAAAAAGCAGAGATGTTCCCTTGAAGACTAAGATGTGCCTTAGTCTTTGTATTTTCAATTTTCAATTACCTCAAAAGCCTGGACAATGAATAAGAAAGATCAAAAAAGAATTGGTGGCTTTGAATTATGATGTTGATGAAGAATATTAAATATGCCATCAAATTTCAGGACGACATTGTGGCAGGAAAGGGGTTGAGTCTAGCCTATCAACCAGGTCACAGCCAATTAGGCCTCTGTGTGAGCATGGCCTTCTCCTGCAGATTCTGGGAACTCCTGTTTTCCTCCCTGGAGGTGTGACACTCACTCTCCTTGGAGGCATTCCTGTTGGCAAGCCACATGGAGCTAGACTGATGGAACAAGAGTCCTGGAGCTTGAGGAGCCACATGGAGACCCACACCAGCACTGAGATGTTTCCATCACCACTGGGTCCACAAGATTTTCCAACCACTGACCTATAATTTTCCTGCATTCAGCATCATTGCATGTGCTGTGTGAGTCTGAAGAGGAATTTATAGACTGGTATCAGACATATGGGCTAATATCAGATTTAAGGATTTGATCTGGACTGGGCTGGGATGTTTTCTCAATATACAGTTGCTCTATTATATAAAGCTCTTTCTTATACAACACATATGAGTGTCTCCCTGCATTTGTTTCTCTAGTCTACCCAGACTACCAGAGACCTCATTCTTGGTAAAGTAGAAGGTCGGTGAAAAAGAGGAAGACCCTCAATGAGATGGATTGACACCGTGGCTGCAACAATGGGCTCAAACATAACAATTGTGAGGATGGTGCAGTATCAAGCAGAGTATTGCTCTGTTGTGCATAGGTTTGCTAACAGTAGGAACTGACTTATTGGCACCTAATGACAACATTAATCTCCTTTATTATTTTATTAATCAAAGTGTGACAAGGGGGCCCAGCTCCCGTTCTTGCCATCCAGAGATTACTGATAACGAAATGGTAGAGAACTTGTCCAAGCTTACTGCACCATATCTACAAAATGGGAATAGCAAGTCTTACCTTATGAGATGATCATTGAGACTAAATGAACAGTGATAGAGTAGTCCTCCTATAGAGCTGTAACAGTACCAGTGGACATCAAATTAATTCTGACTTCTGGCAATTTCATGCTTGTAAATTGCTCCATAGGGTTATCAATAGAATTAGAATCACCAGACCTTTTTTCTGAGGTGATCTTCAGTGTACTTAAACTGCCAACTTTTCAGGTAGCAGTCAAATGCAAACTATTTGCTCTCCCCATGAACCTCCTATATGCGGAATATTTAATAAGAGACCTCTTTTTACCCAAATGAGAGGCTAAGTACTGGGAATTCCTAAGGTGCCCCAATGGGTGATGAAAAAGTGGTCCTTTGAGCCCGAGTACCAGAACAAGCCCCAATCCCTATATCCTGTAGCTCCCTCACACCCAGAAGACCCTGGTCCACAAGACTTCAATGGTTTCTAAGTGATGGCATCAGTGGTTTCTCCTCTTCATTCCCATAACTTGGAGTACATTAAAGAAGCTCTTCAGAGTGCTTCAGCTAATAAATTATTAATAATAATTAATCAACCTTTGAAGAGTTTGAGCCTCCTTCAAACACTAAGCTTTATATGGATACATTATGAACTTCCACAGATGTGTAACCTACAGGTTCCAAGGAAGTCAGGGTTCATTGAGGACCAGGCTTTGCCAAGGAGGGGGATCCCCAAGCACTACGCTACAGGAGATACAGCAAGGTATCCCGGGACAGAAGGTCTGACCCCTACAGATGCCAGCAGCAGAGAGAAAGGACCCCTGACTTGTCCCAACATTTGCTAAAACACTTCCTCCTGGAAGCTTTCAAAAGGTTTATATTAGCATCCTGGCCAGCATGAAGGATTAGAGATCATAGACTTCGCCAAGCCCTAAGCTTCAGGGCCAGGAGGAACAAAGACAGAACCTGAGTTCCATGAATGTTTTTCAATGCTTCTAAATTTATTTTGGTATTTAAACAAACAGATACTACATCATGCATCAGTTACTTTTCGCTTTTGTACAACAAAACTAAGAACTCCCTATCTCTGCAGAGGTTTGGAGTTGTGTTTTGTTTTTCTTTTTCTTTCAGTAACATCAGGCAGACTTTTCAATGTTATTCAGTTTTGCACAGTCACTAGAGTGTCGCATCATGAATTATTAAATCAGTGCTTCGTGGTAATACATAATTTCTTATCAATTATTCATGCTAATGTGTGTATAGTTTACTTAATTGTGTTATTGACGATCAAAAGTAATTTCCTGAAAGTCCTCAAGGACACAAAATTTAATCAGCATAACTACTTTACAGATGCAATGCTGTTAAGTATTCTTAATTTGCTCAACAGTTCACTTATTTATGTACCTTTCTGGAGGAAATACGAGTTTAATCAAACAATTAGATTGAAGAGTTAGTGTACATAAGGGCTTGCGCTTACAATGTTCAACCAAACATTTGTAATTACAGGGAAACGGAAGAGACTTTGCTGCTTTTTGGCAAATCATTTCATCTTTGTTCTCCACAAGCAAAACACAGCAGGAAGGACCGTTTGTTTTTTAGAAGGAGATTACGTATTTTATCAAATGTTTTGCAGTACTCAGAGAGGAGGCATGATACACTTAGGAGCATTACTGGCGAGATACTTTAGGAGGGAAGGTTATAAAGGGGGTCATGAAACAAAATGAGAATAATTGCAATAACAATAGCTGTTTACATGGAAACACCATCAGTAACCCAAGGACTGCCATTGTCCAGCTACCAGGCCCCTAGTTAGGAGTGGTAGACTTTACCCTATTGCACATTTCCCTTCAATCTCTTCAAGTTTGCTATCCACAAGAGTGAAGGCGAGGCTTGGGGAAGTCACTATCCAGTAGAAGTCACTATGCACTAGATCCAAACAGCAATCTATGGGAGTTAGTCCTTTGGAATTAATTCTCTTTGCACACAAGGAATCCCTCTTCCCATGCCCCATTTCTGCCGATGTATCATGCCCATCTCATTTTTCCTCATTGTTCTCCTCAGTGAAAACACCACCAAAGAGTTCCTTTCCCTTGCCATGACCCTGAGGGAAGGCAGTTCATTCAGATACATAATGATTCTAGAAGCTTCCTGGAGTGCTTCTCCCCACAATGACTCTCAGGTTTTTCTAAATAGAGATGGGCTATTTTCAAGTTGATTGACTTTCCAATGGCCTGGAAGCCAATCCAAAGTCACACTCTAGAGGTGAGAGCTTCTGTGTGGAACCCACATTCGCTCAGTGGCTATAGTGTTCAGCACATGCTCCCCATTCATGGAAGAATGACCTGCCTGGTTGGTCTAGTTGCCTTAGCCAGACATATCAGTGGGAACTCATCAGAGCGGGGCCACCATGTACCCCAGAGACATGCTGAGTCCTGTCAGTTCTCCCACTCCACACCTGCTCAGACTACCTTTAAACCAAGTCAAAACCAACATCTCCCAACAAGAAAAAGAATGTTGTTAATCATTGGGGTGGAGGACAAATAGAGGACACCTGTGTCCTGGTCCTAAAAAATGTCACAAGGATAGTCCCATTTCGTATTGTGATAACTTCAGCCCTGGGCCTCCTCCCAAAGTTGCCCTATGTCTTGGTTCTTTGGGTTGATAAGACCTTCAGAGGGAGGTCCACCAGGAGGGGGTAAGCAATTTCACCTCCCTTCGTGGCTTCTGGGTCTGAATGGAAATGCCAGTGGTCACATCAGAGTGGGTGCTGATACCAAGAAGTGCCACTGAGGTTGCCCAGCAAGAAAGAGGTTCTCACCCAAAAAGCCAGAGCCATCACAGTCCCACTGGCAGAACTCCAGAGGGACTGGGCTAGGCATCAGGAGAGCTGTGGGTCTCTTTTTCCCTTTCCAAGTGCACAAGGAGGGCCCAGGGGGCTGCAGGCTCCTCCTTGCTATTCGAGAGTTTTCTGCGGGGGCTGAGGCTAGGAGAAGCAGGAGGAGGGGAGGGCAAACCAGGTTCAAACACCCTGGGCCTCACACTGTCTTCTCACCCTCGCTCTGTTCCTTAGCAGGAGGATTCTTGTCCTGGCTGCCATCCGGGGGCGCCCGCTTGGCAGAGGGACTGGGACTGCTGCTGGTGGATGGCAAGAGGTTGGCTGACTGCAGTACAGCTTCTGAATGCTCTCGGGCTTTCATGCGCAGGGCGGCCACGCTGGCTGTGCGGTTACTCTGGCAGCCATAGGTAGGGAGGAAAGACAATCCCATGGGGTCTGGAACACAGCAAGAACACAGTGGACCCCCTGAAAAAAGAAAAACAAACACAGTATTTCCAGCATCATTTTAAGACAATCTCTTGAGCTGAGGGGTGAGAGGGAGGGAGGTCAAGTTTAGGAACCTGTAAGAAAGATTCTTCCAGGAGAGTCCAGACACTGCCGGGAACAATAATAAGTGTTTGAGACCCGGTAGACACAAAACCCAAGAGTTTAAACCGATAATCCCAAGGATTTTCAGAGTGTTTAGGACTTTATCTTGTGAGTTTCTGAGACTGTAAATCTGTGTGGAAGCAGAAAGCTTCGTCTTTCTGCCTGGAAGCAACTGCTGGTTTCAAATTTCTGACTTTACGGTTAGTATGGCAAAGCAGAGCCCACTACTCCATGGGCTCTTTCTATAACATGGGGTCATATCTACCTCAAGGGATTGTTATGAAGATTCAAAGAAGCAATCCCATAGTCCCCAAACCATATGTCAAAACACTGCCATTAATTCAGTTCTGACTCTTAGTGGCCCTATTTAGGATATTTTTCCCTTTAAAAATATATCATTCCATAGTTCAATCACATCAAGCAGAATTGTATAATTGCTACCACAGTCACTTTCCAAACATTCTTTTTCGACATGAACACTTTGACATCGTCTCCTCTTCACACACACACCCCACCACCACTGAGCCCCCCTTTCCCCAAAACCCTTATTCTACTTGCTGTGTCTATAGGCTCATCCATCCTGGGTTTCATATATTGAACAACAGAAAAGCATATAAAACAACTCCAAGAGGGTACACCTCTAATATGTACACCCTCATATGTACAAGCAAAACCAAACAGCACCATACAAAGCAAAGGCAGTGTAGGAAATCAGATCAGGTCTAGCATGCAGCATAAGGGGATCTACTGACAAAGTTTTAACTATTCAAGGGGGATTGTAAATCTTTATGGAGGGAGATATCCTCATCTTTGTCCCTCAGAGCAGTTAGTGGGCTTCAACCCCCAACCATCCAGTTATCTAGTGCTTTAACCATACACCAAGGCATCCCTGAAAAGGCACATGAATAAAGAGGGCGTCCTTTATACTTTCAAGTCACAGTGCCATACAAACTGCTAGCTCAAGGGAGCTCAAGCCTTCATTCTTTGAACTATGTCACAGCTTTGTGAAGCTAGATTCCAGCCTGTACAAAACTTCATTTGGCACATAAAATGAGTGGAATGGTGTCCAGGAGGATCCCAAGGCTGCAAAGGCACACAGAGCCCATCAGTCCCATCCCATCAGAAAGTAAAGTTACTTAAGAAAGAGCTAAAAGTATTATTTTACTATCAATTTATAAATACTATTTTTCAAATGATTGCTAAGCTGTTTGGACTCAACTGCTTAATGAACAGCATGAAACAGTATTTCTCTTGTTCGTTTTTTCCCCAGGGATCCGCAGTTAAACACAGGTTTTATTTTATTTTCCTTTGATTTTTATAATTTTTTATGTATTTTGATATTTTTATTCTTTTTTTTAGTTCTCTCCTACTTCCTCTTCCAGTTCAACCCTTCCCACACCTGCAAATACACATGCCTCCCAGGCAAAAAGAGGCAGGCCACAGATCCCAGTACACCCACCCAAACTAAGGTTAATTTTATTTTTATTTTTTACTACACTTGATCTTAGTTAAAACGTTGACAAGTGATTATATTTTTATTTTTTGATGGTAAAATTAAAATCTTTATTTTTTTTTACACTTAACACTTAATGTTGATCTTTCACTACTTTCTTTTTAAAATAGTTTTATTGACATATAATTCACAATTTATAAAATTCGATAATTCAATCATATTAAGAAGAGTTGTGTAACTATAACCAAAATAAATTTTAGAACATTTTCCTCTTTCTTGCATTCACTCCCCATCCCACCCCAACTTTCCCTTGCTTACCTCTAGGAAACTCTTAATCCAGTTATTCAGGTAAATCTTTGTAGATTTACCTATCCTGGATTTCATATACAGTAAAACATATTAAAACAAAAACAATAACAAAATAAAACCAAGAAAAATGTCAATTGAAAAGAAAGTAGAAAATATTAAAACCTAGAACAAGTTGAAAATTGGTCAAAAGGGAGATCAAATGATAAGATGTTAAATTCTAACCTACCATAATAATGCACTTTCTAATGCATTCTGTCTGATAGCAAGGCTCTTCACATTCCTGGTCCATAATAATATGGATTTCACCAAGGCTTAATCCAGTACATGGGGACCCTACTAATGGATGTCAAACTTTCACTGTTATCCATGGCCTTCTGCAAATCAGGTGCTTAGAATTTAAACTCTAATACTGTCCCCTCCACCAGCCTTAGATTTTATTATTTACAATATGACTGCGTATAATACACTAGTCAACAAAGATGGAAGTTTGAATTCACTTAGAGGTGCATTGGAAAAAAGGTCTGGAGATCTACTTCCAAAAATTCAGTCACTGAAAACATGTATGGTTGCTGTGAGTTGGAGCCAAATTGGGTGTCATGAAAAATGACAGCACCTGAAGGTACCAGAAATAACGAAGGGTTGAGAATCTACAAAAGGATCAGTTTGGAAAGCACTTTGCACAAGGTCTATTGTGCTAACGGGGCTTAAGAGAGATCTCCTGGCTCTGAATCAACCAGCAGTGCTTTGCAGGCCTCTTAGGAGCAGGGTAGGAGGTCTTTGCCACACTAAAGCAAGAGTTCATCCACTGGCAATGCAGTGCAGGTTCATTCACTCATGCAACTATCCAACAAAAAGTCCATGAGCACAAGGCACTGTGGTGTGTCCTAGTGAGTCAGTAAAACTCTGTGTCCTTGAGGGAGCATGTGACAGGGAGATGCCCAGGAACCAAGTTCAATGAGACATCAATGATATAAGATCATGGGTGATAGGTGGTGGGTGAAGAAAAGTACAAAATGAGTGTGAGGGCAGCCTTGACATCCAGGATCAGGGCATCCAGGGTGCAAAGAAGAGCAAATGACAAACAACAAAAATGGAACAGTACTCACTTATTCAAGAAACAATTGGACATTCATAGTGATTGGAGTTACTGAACTGCAGGCAGAGGACGAGATATGGGCCAAGGGACCACCATGGTCAGAATGCCCTGAAGTCATGGCAAACAAGGGAAGGAAAGCCCTCATCAGGTTTTAAATAGTTTAGTCTAATCCCACATCAAGGAAATTTGACGGTAGATGGGGTAGCAGGAATAGAGGTACAGCCAAAATAGCGATTGGACAAAGGTGGCAAGAGTGAGGCCGTCGGTCTGAATTTATGCTGAAGGTTAGTCTGTGTGCACTGTTGAGGGACTATGAGTGAAACATGACAGAAGGGATTTAAAGGTGGCCCCTAGGCTCTAGTCTGATCACTGGAATGAATGGGGATACCATTTCCAAAGTTCAGTCAGAAAGAAATAGGTTGTTACGGAAGGGAATATCAAGGGTACAATGAGGGGTTCTGGTGGCAGAGTGGGTTATGCATCAGGCTGCTAACCACAGGGTCAGCAGTTAGAAACAACCAGCTGCTCCAAGGGAGAAAGATGAGGCTTTCTCCTCTGGTAAAGAGTTACAGTCTCAGAAACCCATGGGGGGAATTCTACTCTGTCCTATAGGATCACTATGAGTTGGAATTGACTCAATGGCAGTGCGTTTGATTTGGTAAGTGTGGGTCTAGTAAGTCTGAGATCCTGTTGGCCTGTCCAAACATGCTCAACAGTGCTAATGCCGTTCCCTATCCTTAGCTGGGTACTTATGGACCACAGCAGTTTTCCTACCATATAGAGCAATTGCAGGAGTTATAGAGACATTCTCCCAGACAAGGTGGGTGGACTCAGCTGCTGGCCTGGCATGACTGTAAAGATTATCTAACCCTCTTTCTGGTCCAGTAGCAGACTCCACAGGCAATCCCTACATAAATTGTCCTTTGCACCTCAGACAGCCTTCTGAGGCAGCTCTGACCAGGGCAAAAAGCAGATGGTCATGCCAATGACACTTGGAAATTAATGCCTGTCCCTGAAGCCCAAGGTCCTGGTCACAGCTGGCCACTGGCCCCCTCTACCATTTGGTGAGGGATGGGCAGCCAAACCATCTCTTCATCCTCTATGCAGCTCTTAACTCTTTCTGAAAGTTCTCATAGACTTGGAAAGCAGCATTATTGCAAATAGGGAGAACTTTTTGGACCAAAATTCATGTTTGTTGAATAAAATATATATATATATTTGGCCTACATATATGGGCCACCTTTCCAGATGTGATAGATGTTGTGCTAACCTGGCCAATAAGAACATGTGGGATTAATAAGGTCACAGTTTGATTGGAGGGCCAAGAGATAAATGACTCAGCAAGCCCCATCTCTCTCTCTCTCTCTCTCTTACTCTCTGGTGATCAGACTAGTGTGCGGCTGCCTTAGCTAGTTCTCTGCCTCAATTTGTGAGCTAGACTACCTGTGGGACACCCAACCTATGTATCATGTCGCTAGAGCTTGAGGTTCCTTTGAGACCTGCTTCACCACATTGCTGGTGTATACATCATTTGAACTCGGGACTGTTGGATCCTGTTGTCTGGCTGACTGTTGGTGACCCACCCTACTGTGGCTGGAGTGCCTGCATGCTCTACAGAAGACTCAGCTGTCTGCTTCCATGTCCTTGGACCCAGCAGCCCTCGTGAGTTGAAGGACTTCCAGTATACTAACTATTCCACAGAAGTGAGTTGAACTGAGCCGTCTGTACTGCTGTGTGGACTAATTAGCTGTTATACTCCTTTGTACTATATATATCTATCCATATATAAAATCACAAGTGTTCTGATTTTGTTTCTCTAGAGAACCCTGTCTAACATACCAGACTTCAAACATCTTTACCATCACCAGCCTCATCATCATGATCATCATAACACAGCAAATCTTCACGGAGGAATTTTATTAGCTATCTCATGTATTTTGGACATGTTATCACGAGACACCAGTCCCTGGAAAAGGATTTCATGCTTGGTAAAGTAGAGGGACAGTAAAAAAAACAAAA